TGAGGTTGGTATCAGCCCACCTCACAAGTGTGTCAAGGTCCCTCTGGATGGCAATCCTTTCCTCCAGCCTATCAACCGAACCACACAGCTTGGTGTCATTAGCAAACGTGCTGAGGGCACACTCAATCCCACTGTTCATGTCAGCAACAAAGATGTTGAATAAGACTGGTCCCAACAAGGATCCTTGAGGGACACCACTCATTACTGGTCTCCAGCTGGACATTGAGCCATTGACCACAACTCTTTGTGTGCGGCCATCCAGCCAGTCCTTTATCCACCGAGTGGTTCATCCATCAAATTGATGTCTCTCCAATTTAGAGACAAGAATGTAATGTGGGGCAGTGTCGAATGCTTTACACAAATCCAGGTAGATGACATCAACTCTTCTACCGCTGTCCATCAGTTCTGTAGCCCCATCATAGAAGGCCATCAAATCGGTCAGGCAGGATTTCCCCTTAGTGAAGCCATGCTGGCTGTCACCAAGCACCTTGTTGTTTTTCATGTGCCTTAGCATGCCTTCCAGGAGAATCTGCTCCAAGATTCTGCCAGGCACGGAGGTGAGACTGACTGGTCTGTAGTTCCCTGAGTCATCCATTTTCCCCTTCTTAATAATGGAACTTATATTTCTCTTTTTCCTGTTGTCAAACAATGCAGAATAAAATATAAATACAGAATAAAAGTAGCAAGACATAAGCACGCACTTCAAGATCTTTTACCAACCTTTCTACTAATTTATGTAACTATTCTACTATTTATTTAACAGTAACATCTTCATCCAAACAGATAAACTACAAATTAACCTTTTAGGGAAAGAGAGAAAAAGAGTATCTTCAAAGACTGACCTTTGCTAGAATAGGACATCATCTCTCAAAACCAGCAACAATTTAAAAAAACAAACCAAACCAAACTAACCAACCAACCAACCAAAAAAAAAAAAAAAAAACCCACACAAAAAACCCACCAAAAACAAACAAATAAAACCAAACCCCAGCAAAACAAAACCAACAGGTCCTTGAGCTCCAGGCTTTCAAAGTCTTTTATTGTACCCAGTTTCCACTTATTTTGCTACTCCAGCAAATTCGCAGAATCACAGAATCAACGAGGCTGGAAAAGACCTATGAAAAGCTTGCTGAGACAAAACAAAGTACATTTGAATACCATACCTGAAACAGTGCAGGGACAGAACCAAGAAAGTTCTACCCTCAACTCTCCCCAAAACAGGCTCAACTGAATCTAGAGAAATGGAAAGCTAAGAAACACAATTTTCCTGTCTGTATATCATTTAGAAAGATCAATGTAAGAAAGCTTACTTTCATAGCAGATACTGGTGTTGATTTAGGCTTTTAGAAAAATACTGAAATCACAAGATTACAAGGTCAAATACTTAAAAAAGCAAGGTGTGAGCAGAATATCTGACTGCAAGCTAAACGTAACTCCTTTTTCCATATATGCTTTAAGACACGGCCTTTTGTCCAGACGAAAGATACAGAAATTAAATCAAAACCCCAGAATAATCCCATAAATGCTAACAAGTGACTCCTGGTTTTATAGTGCAGAACAAACACCAGACAGTGCAGACCCCAGCAGAAAACACACAGCTCAAGGAAACCAATTTGCAGTTTCAGGCAAAAGCCTATCCTTTGTTCCTCATCAATTCTTCAATTCCTTCAAACTTCTCAGAAAATCTCTGAAGGTACACTCTGCAAAGCCACATCTATTGCTGCTCCATTTCTGATGGCATTATTTTCCTAACGATCCAAACAAAATGGCAAATAATACACAACTATAACACTTCAAAGCAGCACCTTCTGTAGAAATGCAGTAAAAGTATAGAAAAGAGCAAATTATTTTATAATAGGCCTTTAGCATTTACTCTGGTAATTGAATAAAATAAATAAATATTGAACAAAATAAATAAATAATCTCATGATACTTAAGTTACAGTCCCTGAAGGGGGATGAATGACAGAGTAATTACAGATTGTTTAATGTGTCTATTTTGCAGGAACATACTTAGGTTGAAATTATTCAGCACACAACAAATTGCCAGTGCACACAGCAACAGTCCAAACCAGTAGCCTTAAATACACCAGTGCAACTATAAGACGTTGGAGCTGTGATAATACAGCTCTACTAATTTGAGGTAAATGATTCTATATGATGAAAAGGCAGCAGATAAAAGCCATGCCAAACCTCTCCCCAAATAAAATTAATTCTGAATATTCACCACCAGTAGATCAAGGACACCACGCTTTAAAGATAGAGGTGTAAGTAAAAGAGATGATTTCCACCTACCTATTCCCCCCCCAACTACCTTTAGAGTATTACATAAATTCAAAGTATGATTACCTATGACTAAAATCAGTCCTTACTACTTCTGAATACCAGGCCATAATGTCTGAGGTTTGACCAACTCATTGAAGATAACTAAAGATTGCTTAATTAGATAATTGTCTAGCATTACAAAAGAACTGTGGAATAAAAGTTTACCTCAGACTTAGCCACAGAGCAGTAATAAAACTATAACATTAGCAGCAGATAATTGTAAATCGAAGGAGAACAGTGGATACAAAGAACCTATTTATATATTCTATTTCAGTATTTTTTGTATTTTAAGGTTGAGTTTTACTGCCTCAATGATACTGCAAAGACTCCCAGAAGCTAAAGTCAGAACCTGCTGATAACCAACACTTGAACTCAGACAAGTTACACAGGTTACTCCGGTTAAAAGCAAGGTTTATGCTGTAGCATTGTGCATCCTTTCTCAACTCACTCACAAGTTTGTTTTAAATTGGCCAAACTGGAAGTAGCTTCAAAATTCTCCAGTTTGGCCAATGATGAGAAGAGTCAGATTCAGTCCCTTTTTCCCAGAAGACCTGGAACTCCGGCACAGGCTTTTGGGGGAAAGAAAAATGAAGGCACTGAGCAGATAAGAGAGCAATCCAAATGAGAAAGGTTTAGTAGGCAAGGGCAGATGCAAACTCAGAGAAAGCCAGGGCATGCTATTCTGCTGTTCACAGCTATAGGCCTGCCTTGAAAGTTTTGGACATATGCTAACAGAAAATGAGAGGCATTCACAAAATGGTGACATGAAAGCTGGTGATCAGTTCAGAGCTGGGTTGTTTTTTTTTCCTCACAAAGACTATCTGCACAGAAACCAGTCATCAAATACCCCCACACACACACATCCCATCCCCTCCGCCCCCCCCCCCCCCCCCCCCCCCGTCATTGCTTCAATTACAGCTAGCTTTAACAGAATCTCAAGGACAGCGCCACAGTTTGACAAGAATCAGAAAGGCAGCATTCCTTTAACTGGACATGCACTATTTTGTTTCTGACGTCTATAGAGAGGCATGCAGCTTGGCAGGGAACACTCGACATCCTTCAAACTTCATTTAGTGTACAGTGCTTTCCCGCCCTTATCTTTTAAAATTAAATTTGCAATTTCCACAGTTACAAACATACCATAAATTAGTTGGGTTTACTTGAACCACCTTCCGGCAATACAGGCTTGAAATCAAGGTTCTAAAGAACACCACGTAATAAGGTGAAGATCGAGCTCCAACTCAAAGATGGAAGCCAGCTGACCAAATAACAAACAAACGGACAAACACAGTAATCCCTTATTAAACAATATAGTTAGCATGGCCTTTTCCAGCTGGAATCTGTTAAAAATAAGGGCGTAACTCATACAGCATAATCTCTGCACCAGCAGGAAAAGAGATTTGTCTTTTCCCCAGGTTCAAAGAGAATCCTATGCTTATGTTCCCTCTTTTTATTTAATGAGTGGCTCTTCTGCAATACAGGACTTTAGCACTGGGAAAGGACAATATTGATACCTTTGACATTAAGAACACTTTTAGCAGGGTTTTTAACTGAACCAGTAAAATCTTACTGTCACAAAAATAGAGATGACAAACCTGGATTTTAGACTGCCTTTCAGATCACCTTCTCAGCAAAATTTTTTTGTAGTGCTAGTGACATCTGTCTTTGTATCAAGATACAACCTGGTACAGCGATCCATGAAACTGCCAGTGAATGGTGGCAGCATGCCTGCTCAGGAGGGCTGTGCTCACAGTGCCCCTCGCACAGATTCCCTGTCTTCAGTGTAGGGGATTCACCAATGACACCGCAAACTTAAATTTGGATGTTTTAATCTAAGGAAAGGAAAGCTGGAGTGGGAATTGCTGGGTGATAATAAAATACAAATATGCCCCAGCAATTTGAGAGAAGTTAGAAAGAGGAACACAGGAAATTTCACTATTGAAAACTCCATGCTCTGAAGTGCACTTTAAGTAAACTAAACTAAATTGTATCCAATGATCAGGCAATCACCAGTTTAGTTTTAACTGTGGAAACTGCAATCTGTTTGTGCACTTCAAATACAAATATTGATTTCAGATACATGTAGTCTTCTGAATATTAGGCTTGAGAATTCAATGCTTATTTTCTCTACCCAAAGCAGATTTACTGTAACAGCTACTCCTGCCAGCCCAGTAAGCACTCCCAGTTTCCTTTGGCAATGCAGATTTACATTCACCTTTGTATGGCTAGGTAAAGCTTTATTTAAATTCACAATGTTTGTGAGGAATACAGAATTATCAAAGAGCACTGCTTATCTGCAGTTAATAAAACTGCCATTTATAGCTAAAGCTTTCAAAGGAGAAATGGTGTTCTGTATCACAAGCAAAGACCCCACATCTGTCATTGTCTTACAAAAAATAATCTAACACATGTAACATTTTCTTCAAGGTGGGGAGGCACACTGTGTAAAGTGATATCAGTTCCAAAACCTTCCCCCTCCACAGTGCAACAGAAGTGATGGCTTTAACAAAAACACTGATTTATTCTTCTGCTGATGACAGCTACACAAATGAAAAAAGCTCCTGCTAGAAAATTAATTGCCTTAAAGTCTGCACACCTTATTTATTCCTTAAGGAAGTCTGCACAAACAATAAATGAAATTAATGCTTACTCATGGAGAAACACAACCATCCTTACAATTCAATCCCACAGTGCCACATGTGTAGATCCATCAAGCACATCTAGAATTTAGCTCCCAATTCAGGTCTTTATGCACTGCTTGCCCCCTCCACGTGAGCTACCTGAAACAACAGGAGTGATAAAGGGTTTTCTGTAACTGCACAGCAGCATGCACACAAGATCCACAAGCACCACAAGCCGAACTGTGGCAGGCAGCCAGGAGCCTGAGCTGCACAGCTGAGCTGTATTTGCATGGGATTTCAATCACAGATAAAGGCTTTATTTACTAGTGCTGTAACTGTACAGACTACATCAACAGAATCTCAGTGTGCCACACAGCTATAGTTTCCTACAGACAAGCTGCTGAAGTGCATAACAAATGACCTGGACCAAGTGCAAAGATGCAAGTTTGAAGCAGCAGGCAGCACGGTCACTATTATGCCTGGAACCAGACGCCTCAGAGAGGCCAAAGACTTTATTCTTTACTCAGACTCCATACTCCTTTTAAAGGCAGTTACATAGGTAGATAGCTGCAAACTGAGCTTAACTTCTACAGAAGCAAAGGAGGTGGGCAGGGCAGAGGAAGATCCTTCAGGCAGAAGGGTGGCACTGTAGAAGAGTACATACTCTTTAGCTGCATGTACTCCTCACGCATTTTTAATATAACTGTTAGATGGAAGGTGATCTTCATTCCCTTGCCACATGGAAGAACTTTCCAGAAACTTACAGCTAGCAACTGAGTCATCTCAAATTTGTTTTCAAGCTATATTAATGGATTCTAATAAGTACGAAGAAATTGCCATTGAGGTTTTGAAGGGGAAGTCAGAAACACAGGATGCTGCAAGCATTCTCTAGTAAGAACAGGTAGAATTAGTTCTAATATTGTTTCTTTTTTTCACCACACATCTGAATTTTCCCAAGCACCCCTTTCTTGTAACGGGCAATTCTATTTAATCTCTAATTACTTATCTGTACTGTCACCAGTCTTTCGTATCAGATGACAAAACATCTGCATCATTTATCAGTTTTGCTGGTGTGCTTTGGCTAAAGAGAATCACATCACATTCTGCATTAAGCTGCTAAGAAAAATGTTTTTCTGTATTCTTATTTAGCAGTCAGAGAGGCCAGATGTAATTTGATGATCACTGTGCTTCTTTGGGGGAAGAAAAATAAAAAAAAAAACCAGAAACTACAAAACATACAAAAAAAATCACCAAACCAAAAAAACCCCCACAGCTGTGCTAATACAATCTATATTTAGCACTGCACAAATAAAAGAATAAAAGCCATTACTGCTCTCTCCCACCATGCTACTGGCAGTACCAAACAGAATGCCTGACAGCTTTCCAGGGGCCTTCAGCAGCTACCACTACTGCTGACGTGCTGCAGACAACAGATTTACACTGAAGCGCATTTGTGCTTTCTCACCATCCGTTTTCAGAAAGTTAAGCAAGAAGACAAGAACTACAACTGCCTTTCCAAGATATTGCTCTGAAAATGTATCTGTGTATCTTGAAGCTTGCTTTCCTCTTACGCATTTGTTGGTATTAAAGACAGGAAACAAAGTAGTTCTAAAACCACATTAACATAGTAGGAAACAAGGTATTCAGTTGCAGCCTTAAATGGAGTTTTAAATCAGTCATAATGTTGTAGAAACTAGGAAAGAGTACAAATAAACGCCCATAAAACAAATTGGCAAATTAAAATCTGAAAACTTTTGAAAAAATAAATTCATAAAGCAAATCTGCCAGTTATTCATAAAAGTTGACCTATTTACACAAGTGCCAAGACCCCTTTTAAAATTATAATCAAAAAAGGTTGGTTTATGCTCAAAATAATCTTACAATTTTGAAAATGTCTGTTCTGGTACTTCACTGATAGCTATAACTATTCTCATTAAAAGTCTGAAATCTCAGGGTTCTTTTTCCTTACCCAGTTCTACCTCACCCATAAGAAATTAAATGTTTGTCTGTGTACGGTGCCTCTCTTCATCCTTATAACAGCTAGCTAAATTCACTTAAGATGTTTTTTGCTCTTTGTTTTGAAGTAGCAGTTTATTCAAACTCAGGCAACTTCCTTCCCCATTCCCCACAGAGCTCTCGGCCTACCCTGACAGGACAGGAGAGAGGGAAGGTACAGTCAGGCAGTAGTAAATGTAAGCATCTTTGTTTTGAGTGAAAAAGGAGAACATAGATCACATCTACATAAAGTGGTCTGTCAGCAGACCCAAGCCCAAATTAAAGAAAAAAAAATAATTAAAAAAACTAAACATGCAGCATTTTTAATTTTAAAGAAGTCACTTAGTCTTTATACTACAGAGGATTTTCCCAGTTAAATGTCACCATTTTAAGTTCAGCTGATTCTGAAAACTGTAGCACACTCTAAGAAAGAATAGTACTAATAGTAAAAACCAGTTCAATTTCCACAGCTTGTGATGGTCATGAACATGGTCTGAGTTGAGAAACATCAAGCTGCCTGAGCAAACACATCCAGCCCAGACAGCAGACTACCCTTGTCAGCTGAAATCCCTAAAACCAGCTGCATTTCAAATGGGGAAACTGCAGCGCAACTCCTCAAACCCTCCCTGCAGCAGATATGTTGTGTCGGCTTTGATCAGCAAGGAAATGGTTACTTCTGAAGTTGAAACCATTGTACTTCAGAGTTAATTCAGTACTGAATTGAAATGAAAAGCATGAACACTTCACTGTCGTCTTTGATCTTTTGTTTCAGGCTGTCAGCTCTAACAGACATGACTAAATTGTTTCTACTTAACACCAGTTTTTAAGGATGTTCAGGAAAGCACAATAGGGACAGAAAGGTTTTATATCACATAATAATACAAAACTTGAGGTTTGACTACATCAGAGATTAAGAAAAAATGACAAAGAGTAAGTTTAAAGGCAACTAAGACAGTTCCCTACAGAGGTCAGAAAGAGGGAAATATTAATATGTATCTTCCTCAGTCTAAACCCGATCTGAAAGTATCTCAAAAACCCAAAAATGTTCTCATCTGCAGATAAATTCTAAACTTTAAAACATATTACCTGAAAAACAAATTTATTTTTTTAAGAAAAATGTACAAAAAGTGGTCAATAATATTGCCTAAAATTGTAAAAATTCTCATATCTATTGTATTAAAAACACTTATCAGATGCAACAGTGAACATTAAATGTTCCAAGAAAGAAAACCAAACAACTAAAACTTTGTGATCAATGACCACACTAATACTGGTCACTCAGTAAATACTAGAACTCTAAAATTTCTGTCTTACTCAACAGTTTAGATTTGTTTCCCAATTATTTTTAGCATCTTCAGACAGGAGACAGATATTTTGCTAAGCAACAAAGTTAAAATTACCTCATCATGATCACACACACAGAAAAAAAAAATCGCCTGAGTACACCCTTTTTTCAATCAGGCCACATGCAGACAGTCCTCATGTTCAGCACCAAGTAACATCGACTCCCACTCAAGTACACTCCAGCTATGAGCTCCATCTGTGCTTTAATTACTACAGCAAACCCATCCATTATACCTCAAATGGTTTCACTATTCTGTAACATTGAAAGATAAAGTCTTAACTGCAGGTTACTCATGAGCAGCCATTGTGCACTGTCGGCAGAGAAGGTTGCAATATCAAATACAGATAAAGCTTAATAGCTTATTGAAAGAAAAATATTTTCCTGTTAAAGTGTATGTTGAAAGTACAAAAATAAATTCTCATCCATTCATAAAATACAAATGCAAGTTTTAGGCTTATAGTTCGCACTCAAGTACAGAATATAGTATTATGCTTGGGTATTTGTTTTCCCATTTTTGCAGCATTCTTCTCTAAATCCGGCATAAGGCTCCCCTCTCCCAGGATACATAATTTTCTATTTGATGCAAACATACATGAAATCAGATAGTCTTCTTCCCAAGATTTCCTAAAATCACAAGTTAGGGACTAAGTGCCTTTCTTGCTTTATGTCTGTTATAGAGCTGATGGCATGCTTAGCTGTTTGGGTTCCCCAGTTTTTCTTTGAGGATGGCAGATGACACCTTCAGACAAAAGAAAGAACTAAATCAGCTTTCTACCTCCTCTGTGAGCCCAGTGCTCCTTAAGAAAACAGCCAGTTTAGAAGAGGCAACAGCTACTTTTATTAGAAGGTTTGCAAATCTGCAATTTTTTTTGTGCTCAGCCAAGCTGATGAATTGTTTCATGATTATTTTGTAAATTCACCTGCATGGGGGGGAATGGGGAAGCATAAAAAAAAGCCACTAACAAAAAAAACCACACCAAAACAAAAAACCAAGCACCCACTCTGCTACGCTCATTCCTTAAACATCCAAAAGGTCTATAGCAGGCATAACTGTGAGGAGAGATGCCACTCTGTTTCCCCACCCTGAGGCATCCCTGCTTCCACGTAAGGTCCTTCCAAGTACTATATTGGTAAATGGAGTACTTCACAACTCTTGAGATCCACTTTAGGGTACTCCAAAGGAACCTTAAAGAAACTCTGTACTGTCATGTTCCTTCTGATTGACTATAAAGCGTACTTTAAACACCAAGTCACTGCAAAGCTGAAGCCCTATGGTACTACTTTTCTTAAGAACCTGCTCCTTTCCTGCCTTTCAAATCATGCATCACTTCCTATTTCTGAAATAAAGCAGTATAGAATAAGCTACAACCCTCTTTTCACGGGTGTATTCACTGAGAGAGCAAAACCCTCAAAGCCTTCAAGTTACATTTTGGGGTTTTTTTTTTAATTATACAAGAAAAACCCCAAAATCTGAAAGTACTACAGTGACTGTAACAGTACTATTTCACTCTAGCAATCCAATCCTTCTTCACTAGCCCACCAGCACTATTTCTCTGCTTCTCTGAAGCATTTAAGGAACAAGAATGACAGACCCACTGTTCTCCTCATGCACTGAAGCTTCTTTCAGGTTTGTTGCAAGGATAGTAACAGATGGCAAGAGACTCTTTACATACCATGAAGGAGAAAAAAAATCCAACAAAACAAAAGTATCATCAGCGTAATTCTAACACTAAACTCTGTAAGTTACTGGAATTGCTCAGTAAGTAACAGACATCAGACACAAAAATCTTGAAGAGAGGTGAAGACTCTTGTTCCTGTA